TTAGCTTTGTAGGTCCACGATATTATTTCAGTTCATCTTCATTTAAAATAATATATATGTATAATTTAGTGAACTCATATGTTTCTTGCATCTAATTTATGGTTTTGGTTCACTATGGTTACACTGTTCTTCAGCTTGCACAGCAGCAACATAGTCAAGAATGACTGTGGTGACATTTAATCTGCTGGTGATTCAAACAGAATAAACAACTGAAAGGCACTTCAGTCACAACCTTAGTGGTGTTTGTTAATCCTCCCTGTTCTGCTTCTTGAGAATACAGAACACACTTTTCCAGTGATGCACTCAGTTCCCGTAAGCTATAAGGATGACTGTTTCCTCTTTTACCAAAAAGAGCAGCTGTCATAGCTCATATTTATCATATATCATATGGCACTTCACCCTCCTGTTGACTCAACTGGAATCAAGTGGCTGCACATCTCAGACCGGTGGCAGGTTAACATGTCGCCGCAGAAATATGAAACTACAAAGGATGCTGAGTAATAATTGCGCCTATTAATTATCCAGACTGGCCTTTTACATTCACGGCGACCTCGTTATATCCAGATGCCCCGGTCTTGACAGTGTGACAGCTCTAAAAACTGAAGCAGACAAATGGAATCCTGAGCAGAGGATCCCAAATCTCCGTGCAAATTCGGTGTGAAAAGAGAGAATCCGCTGGACTTTCTCAGACTGAAAATGCTTGTTTATACTATTTTACAAAGACACAGCTGGGCGGTGTGTGTGTCACAAGCACACTGCGGGGAAAACTTATGGTTGCTTTGTGTCTCTGTGACAAAACTGCAATGATGCGAACAAGAAGAGAAACAGATTCTACACATGTGCGTGCATTCGCTTGTCCCTCAGCGCTCGTAGTCATCCGGGCCCCGCAGCATCCCCGTTGAACTGACATATTAAGGACACGACATTCCTGATTTCACATGCGTGCTATGCTGTCCACATCAACATAATGCAAATTATCTTCGCAGGAGTGCTTCAGTTTGTTGTGACACATTTTAAAAACGAAAGAGGAGCGAAGTGAAGAACACCCGCTCAAGCTAATGCACATATGTACTCTCTGATTTCTGCTTGAATTATTTGAGTCTTTTCAACTCCGGTTGAGCTTAAGGTTACAAAAGGTGCTGTGATTCCCGAACATACCTAAAGGCAGAGACAGGACAGAGGCTGAGACAGGACAGGCTGAAATGGAAAACCGTTCATTTCTGCCTCATGCGTTTAGTCATGTTAAATGACCATAAGTGTAATTCCAGTCAGCGACACAAGAGAGGGGCCCTCTCTCTGCCCTCCATACCACAGACTGGAGGGAGACGCCAGGCCAACACACAGGAGGGGAGGGGAGCCAAGGGAAGGGGGCAGGAAGAGGGAATTTTAATGCACGCTCTTTTACAACACACACATATGCACACACACACACACACACGGAAGCACATATATCACATTTACAATTTAAGCTTTCTGCTGACGCGCTCATGCGGAGGGATTTTTGGAAAGGGAGCGAGTATGGCATCCGACTTAAAGTGATCTTTTGAATGCTGACCCCGCCGAGGATTTAGGATTTCAAGATGACTGCAGAAAGTTTTGCGGTCCGGTGCGTCACTAAGTAACTGTAGATGCACCGTAATAGGTGGCAGATTACGTATCAAGATATCAAGCAATTCAGCAGCACAGTCCACCTTCTGCTGTTCATTCATATCCTTAGAGGAAAGCACTGTTTGGTCGGCTTGTAAAGCAGAATAAGACATATAATGCTTTATGTTAGGATACAATACCGCGATGCATCAGTAGCTCTGTAACTATGAAAGGTCAAAAGGAGGTCAAAGTGAGAGGGAATACGAGCATATTGAGGAAATAAACCCACATCATGTTATTTTCACACTTCCATGTGACAACGTGTTAATTAGTGAGCTTTAGGGAAGATCACAGGCAGATTCCTTTACCTTTTTTATTAAATACATGATCCTCAGCAGCCACCTTCATCTCCGCTCTGGTCTTCCCAGAAGCTAATCTGACTCGGTCTGGTGATCCAGCTACTATGTTTTGGAAAATCATCCCAGCAGTGCAGGGGTCAAATCCTCATCAGGTCTCATGTTTGTTTACATTCTCTCACAAGGCCGCTGGGGACAGACAGTGGCCTTTTAAAAGTGAAACCATGAGAAGAAACAAGGAGATAAATAGCACAGAGAGAGAGAGGAGGCGAAAAAGATGAGGGTCTGTGTTCACTGTCCTCTGCTGCTCTTTGCCTTTCTAACAGTAAATCAGTCACCAGTGGCCTTAAATACACACCAGGTAACTGCAACATCCGTCTTTTGGACTCTAGCTGGAGACCTTGAGGGCATGATTCCTTCTTTTTTGCTCACTTGCTGTGATTGATTTTTTTTTTCTTGCTTTAATTAAATAAAAAAAAAATCAGCCTTCAAATTCTGCCCCAGTGTAAATACTGATCACATGACATTCTCTGGCACCTCAGCCTCAAAAGAAAAAAAACAACTTTTATCTAAAAACAGAAGGAAAAGCTAAGACGGTGCCACAGAGGGATCAGTGGCGTCGTATCTCTTGCCAGTAACTTGCAGCACTGAGGCCTTCCAGTGAGACTTCTGCCCCGGTATTGATGTCGAAACATGAAAAGGCATCAAAGTCAGCGAGAAAAGTGCTGTTGAATTTGTCAAATCCACTGGATGGTGGATGGGTCATGACTTCACCCCCAGACTGCCTCGCTTTAGGCATCAAAGCTTTTGTGAAACGTCTTCTAATAGCATTTTTTACTTAATTTTACTTATTTATTTTTTTACTGTATCATTGCATTAATTGCTGCTATCAACCCCCACAGCATCAGGACATTTGTTCAAAAATGTAATAACCAAATGAATCATTTACTAACAGTTAAAAGTGAATGCACTTAAACCAAGAGTCACTTCTTGCAATTCAAGAAATTATACATTTACAAAGAACATTCTCTTGTCTTTGCTGTGCTTCCATGCTGCTCTTTAAATAAGAATATGTACATTAATCTGAACACATATTTTTCTTGGTTTGATTAGATCTAAATTTTGAAAATATGTAAAAATAACAATATTGTTTAGATTTTTTTGTTGTTCAAAATGTATTCAAATCTGTTCACACCTGCAGTCTGCGGCTCTATTGCGCCCCTCTGTGGTCATATTTGTGTAATACAACTTTTCAGCGCCTACAGCTGTAGCGAGAAGACTCCAATTCCCAGACGCCCACTCGTTATTGCCATTCATCTTTCAAAATAAAAGCGTTGATATTGCGAAAATAGGAACTATATGAAGAGAACGTATATGAAGATACCTTTTTAAAACATATTAAGACAAAATTCTGAAAGAAAGTGCAAAAAATACAGTTGAAGTTTGTAGTCAGATACAATTTTAGTATGGCTGATATTTATTGGTGACTAAATGTTGAAACAGTTTTCTGATTTTATCACTGATTTAACTTTAAAAACACATTTATTGATGCTAATTGACTGGAAATGTACATAACAAATGCGGCTTCATTCATAACATGCTTCCTTTTATTCTCCTAAAATTGACTTGCACCTTAATTTATTCAGTAGAAGAAGTCGATATCTTATTTTGAAAATCCACAGTGGAAGTGTTTTATTCCATGCATTAGTGCATGTCTGTACCTCCAGCCCCATTCACTGCTCCACTGACAAATTAGAAAGTGTCAGCCACAGACATCAGAGTCTGTTTGGATCCTGCATGCTGCCTGAGAGTCACTGGAGATCCCGAAGCTGCCAGAATCAAGATGAGGCTGCTGCCACTCGTAGTTACTGTTGTGTTAACGGTGGCACTGGCTTACTACATCTACATCCCGCTGCCTGATGGCATCCAGGAGCCGTGGAAGTTGATGTTTCTGGATGCTGCGTTCAGAGCAACCATGCACCTGGTAAGAGAGGACAGATTTTATTCATTGGAAATAAATTAGAATGCAGCATTTAACAAAAATGGAAATGAAATGAAAAATACTGTATCTATCCCAGAAGGGAAATTCAATATTGTAAAAGCTCACCTTTTTAAAAAAAATCAATATAACATATATTTTATGCAACAACAATAATAATAATCATTCAGTCAGTTAATTGTCAGTCAGTCAGATTTGTTCTTCAAGGAATGAAAGAATAATTTAAAAAATCTTTGCTTTTCTCTGTGCAATGTTTCACCTATTTGCAATCAATTATTAATAAGCTGTATTATCGGTAGGTGCATGTTGAATCACTATTGCACTAGTGGGCTGGGTAGCACTGGCAGTGATAAAATGCACAAGGTGCAGCAGAGAAACACAAAGACTTGGACTTTGAGCCTCCTCGTTAACACATTCTGTTGAATTAACCCTGCAACATAAAACTCCAGCATCTTTCCTGCAGTGTGTTTATGTGAAGCTGTGTCTCTCAGAGTCAAGTGTATGACAAGTTCGGGACACACATAACCACATAATCAATAATCTGACGCTTTGACATCATAAACTGTGATGGATTGAAGCTGTGGGGTATGTGGGTAGTCTACAGTGCTTCACTGTATCAGACAACAGGAGGTCTTTTCATGCTTTTATCACGACATATAATTTCACAGAAGCGCGAGACGTACAAACTTTGTGAAAGAGCTTGTTTAGTAATTTGACAGTGGGATTTTGAAACAGCTGTGCTGCTTGTCATGGTGTAATAAGCTGCAGAGCGGCCACCAGGGAGTGACTTATTCCTACACTCTGAGAGGACATTGAACTCGTCACCCTCACCTTTGTTCTACATTTTGAAATTGTGGAAGAAGAGAAACTATATTAGTTACTTATTGCCACACCGGCTGAGATTGAATACGCTGCTTCTATAGGATCCTGTTTCTCCTCATCAAGACTTTTGAATGTTTTGTTTGTTCTTGTTTTCAAGAAATCAGGAGGAGAATATTAATTGCAATGAGATGATTGAACTGATTTGCTAAGCAAATAAATCCTAACTAATGCATTTTCTCAATTAAAGTCCTACGAGCAGACTGGTGTGCCATGATTATTTCATTATTTGGGCCTAAAGGTGTTATTTTGTCACATCCACAGCATCTAGTTCTGCAGAAGAAGAGGCTACAATGATTCTAAACTGCATTGCTATTGATGGAGTGCTTTACTTTTTCTGCTGCAGACAATACAGTATGCACAAAAATGTGTCCATGTATAATGATTGTACTGTTCTAGATAAAGTAAGTGAATACACACAATGCAATACTGGGCTTCGTGTCCATTAGAGTGGAAAATTATCTGTAGCTGACCAAGAATGAGAAAGTGGCACAAGGACATGCACTTCATCAAACAAATATTGAATCAGGGATGAAAGTCAGTTAAACTAGACATAGTAAACACAAAATGAGTGTAGAAAAAAGTGTTACATAAGCTTTTTTTCTTTTAAATTGTGTGCAGAATGCTTTGGAGCTCACTTTTTTTTTAGTTTAAATGCTGTAGTCCAATGAGTCAGTAAAAAATTCAAAGCAGCGATGCACTTGTCTGCTGCACGGCATTTTCTGGTTTCACAGTGCACATGGATTTTCCAGCATAAGGAACCAATGAGACTTAATTTTGAAGCCAACATGTCTCCGTGTAGCAGGCTGGATCTGACCTCTCACTGTGCCAAGCAGCTGTGTCTCCTGGCCTTGGTTGAACACGACTATTGAGACAGTCTGAGGGGGGGAAAGGTCGCATGTATCAGTAAGACACAGTGCAGGAGGCCAGAGGTGACTGGGTGAGACGCTCGAGTCTGAAATCCCCTCCAAGAGATGAACGCACTCGTTGCCCTTCACTCCACATCTGAAATCTCTCATTTGCGTTAGTCAAGATCACAGAGTTGGAGTTTTGTTTACTCTCTTTCTCTGTCTTCAGGCCTCTTTGAAGCACTGGCTGGGCATTGACCACTACGTCACGTCCATCAGGGGCTCCACGGCGGCGTTCGAGGGCACGATGAAGGGGCTCATGAGCTCTGAGTCCAGCGGCGCGGTCATCCCGGGGGTGAAAGTCAGCGATATCGATTTCGCTGGCATCCCAGTGCGAGTTTACGAGCCGCCGGCCGGAGGGGAGGGTCATCTGAGGAGAGGGCTGATGTTCTTCCACGGAGGCGGCTGGGCCCTCGGCAGCGGCAGTGAGTACAGATGTGACTGCTGTTGTCAAGTAGAGCTGGTGGTGGTACCTTCAGTCACTAAAATATCTTCATCATGGCTCTTACATCTTTCTATTTCAGATACAGGTTCTGTTTTTGCTAATTTATAATATAAATGGGCTATAACTGTCAAGGCAATTTTAAAATCCTAAATTGAATCATCCAAAACATGCAGATCCATTGTGTTTAGATTCTTTACTGTTTGTGATATTTTAGATTTTCAGCTTGCAAGTTGTTGTTGTTTTTTTCCAGATTCAGCTAGAAGAGTTTGTGTAGTAACTTTAATCAAGTTTTTTAAAAAATGTTTTTCCTTTTCCATCCCCAGAGAAAGGATCATATGATGAAACCAACCGCATGGTTTCCGATGAGCTGAACACCGTCGTGGTCTCTGTTGAGTAAGTGTGTCTCCTCTTGCAACACGATGCTATTTATTTTCACAGCTCACACAGACAGTGGCTGATTAATGAAACCCATCCACCCTTTAGGAAAATGTGTTTATATATTAACGCTGTCTTTAAAAAGCTCCCTTCAGAGCCACATAATGTAATATACAAGCGGCTACACAGGCTGAATACTTCTCCCTGTGACAAATAATCTCTTCATGTGTGAAATCAGTGGAATGCCCCATTAATTATAGGAAGGGTACTTACAATCACATGCTCCAAAGCTCTCTAAAGCTCCAGTAAATTAGCATTTGAGACCTCTTTGTGTCTAGGTATCGCCTGTATCCAGAGGTGCACTTTCCAGTGCCGTATTTAGACTGCCTCGCTGCTGCCAAACACTTCTTGTCTCCAGAGGTTCTTGCCAAGTATGCGATCGACCCTGAACGTGTGGCGGTGTCAGGAGACAGTGCTGGAGGGAACCTGGCTGCTGCAGTCGCTCAGGAGGTATACACACAATCCACCTCTTTAATGTGTGTCACAGTGTGAACACAGTGCACATAAAAAGTATTCGCCTTCCTTGGAAGTTTTGTCCTTTCTATTGTCTTTCAACAGTGAATCATATCATTATAACTCGCTTTTTGACAAGAATTTAAAATGTCAGTTAAGTAAAAATACAACATGTAAAACAAGTGAATGCAAAAGTATTCACCCCCTTCAAGTCAGTATATAGTAGATGTACCTTTGGCTGTGCCTGTGCCATTCAGCCTTGCACATCTGGCTTCAGCTCTGTCAGGTTGCATTGCACGTAAACAGCCCTGTTCAAATTCAGCTTCCAATTCTCAGTTGGATTGAGTTCTGGGCTCTGCTTCAACCACTCCACTGCCTTTGCAAGCCTTCCAGGACCCGCTGCCAGGAAACATAAACACTTCATGATGCTGCCACCACCGTGCTTCACTGTGCGGGTGGTGAGTTTGTGATGATGATGTGCAGTGTTTGGTGTCCATCACACACAGTGTGTAACATTGAAGGCCAAAAAGATCAAGTTTGGTCTCATCAGACCAAAAACAACGTCTTCCAGTTGACTTCAGAATTTCTCACGTGCCTTCAGGTGTAAGCTGGATGAGATTTTTCCAATAGTGGCTTTCTCTTTGCCATTCTCCCATAAGGCTTTGACTGTTGTATGCACAGTCTCTCCCATATTAGCTTCTGAAGCTTGTAGCTCCTGAAGAGGAGTCATAGGGGTCTTGGTGACCTGTCTCACTACTCTCTATCTTGTACAATCGCTGTTTTTGAGGCAGTCTGTTCTGGGCATATTTACACATATTCCCTCCATTTCTTAGGGATTGGATTTAACTGTACTCCAAGGGATATTCATCCATCTATACAC